CTGAGTGTGTCGCTTGCACGCCCACCCCAGTGCCCCCCCGTGCCCCCCCCTTTCACACCCGCCCCGCGCGCATCCCCGCAGCCCCCCTTGCACACGCACACGGCGCCCGCCCTTGTGCAACACGCACACGTGTGTACACACGCACACTATCCCCCCGCACGCCCCTGGCATGCACACACACACCTCTTTGCACAAGCACACACCGCCTTGCACACACACACACACGCACACGCATGTTTTGCATCCCCCCTTGCACACACACCCCCCTCCTTCCACACACACCCCCCTCCTTGCACACACACACCCCCCTTGCACGTTCACACCCCCTTGCACATTTACATCCTTTCCATACACACCCCCCTTGCACACTCACACGTTGCACACTCACACGTGCACCCCTCTGTGTGTGTGTGTGTGCCCACAAACACGCACGGGTTCCCCGGGCACACACACCTGGGCACACCTGGCGTGGGCTCAGGGACCCGTGCACGGCCCCCCTTGCGCACACACATCGCACAAACGCACCTTGCACACACACCTGTACACACACACACACCTATACACACACACAGCTGTACACACACACACACCTGTACACACACACACACCTGTACACACACACACAGACCTTACACGCAGTCCCAACACACACCCCCTCGCACACACACCCCCTTACACACTCACAGCCCCCCCTTGCACACACACCCCACCCTTACACATCCCCTTACACGCTCACAGTCCCCCTCACACACACGAGCCCCTTGCACACGCACCCCCCATTTCCACGCGCCCCGTGACCAGTTCGCACAGGGCACCCCCTCACCGTGGTCCCCATCAGACCCCCACCCCCGCACCCCACGAGTGGGCGTGGGTCATGCCTTGGCACACACACTCCCGTTCCCGGACCCCTCCGTGCCCCCCCTTCCCTCCCCCGCAGCGGCGGCGCCGGGCCCCGCAGCCCCCCCCGCCCTGGCGCCGGGCCCCGGGGAGCGCTGATTAATCATTAATTAGCAGCCGCCGGCGGGGCCGTGTCCCTGCGGCCCCACGCGGAAGTCCCGCCGCGCGGGGGGTGGGGGGGGCCCACGCTGGGTCTCCGTGAGGCTCCCGGTACCCCCCTCCCCGCAGCCCCCGCGCCCGCCGCTCCGGTCCGGTGATGCTGCAGCACCGGAACCGGCCGCTCCCGTGGGCATGGCGGGGACACGGGGCGTGGGCTGGGTGGGCTGCGTCTCCCCACAGCCCCGCCTGCCCCACGCGGGGCTCTACGGGGGCAGGTACCCCCTCAGGGGGGTATATACCCCCCGGGGCGGAGGGGCAAAAAACCCCGGGCGGGGGAACACGGTGGGATGCGGGCGGTGGGGCTCCCGCATCCCCTCACACGCGTGAGCACGGCCGAGGGGTCTCCTCTTCCCCGGTCCCGCCCGGCTGGTGCCCGCAGCACTGCGGGTTGCGGGGAGGGTCCGTTCCCGGTGCCCTCCGGTGGCTGCCCAGCTGCGGGGGCGCGGACCGGCCGCCGCGGGGATGGGCGCGGGGGCGGGCAGGCGGGGGCGGGGACGGCCGGGACGCCCCGGCGGCCCCGTGTGATGCGGAGCGCGGCAGTGGCGGCGGCGGCGGCGCGGCCCTTCCCCGCGGAGCGCCGCGGTCCGGTGCGGGGCGGCCCCGCCGGCATCCCGGGGGCTCCGCTGGGTGCCGCCGGGGATGTCCGCCCCGGCGCAGTCTGACGCTCCCGGCTCCTTCCAGGTGAGCGGACCGGAGCCCTCCCGGCCGTCGCGGGCCCGGTGCGGCCCGGTTCGGTTCTTCCCGCAGCGCGGGGGGCCGCCGGTGGCAGCGCCGCGGCCGAGCCACGCCGCCCGGTGCCGCCCGGTGCTCACCGGCCGCTCTCCCCGCAGAGCCCCCGGAGGCTCCCGAAGCGCAAGAGCCGCTTCAAGCGCTCTGACGGCAGCACCTCGTCCGACACCACCTCCAGCATCCTCCGCAGGCAGGTGAGCGGGCCGGCACCGGCACCGACACCGGCACCGGGGCGGGGCAGCCCCACCAGCCCCGGGCCCGCCGCCGTTGCGGCTCCGCATTAAGGCAGGGACCGGGGGTGCGGAGCGGGGAGCGGCCGAGCATCTCCCACCCCAACCCCTGCACCGGGAGGAATCGGGCGGCCGCCCCCGCCCCGCCGCTCCCGGGGGACCGGGGCTGGGCGCCGGCACCGGGCGCCGGTGGCATCGCAACAGCCGCTCCCCGCGGCTAAAAATAGCGAGTGCTGCGTCAGGGCCGGGCCGGCGGCGGGCACCGGCACTGCGGCGCGGGGGGCGGCCCCGGGAAACTGAGGCAGCGGAGGGGGAACGAGCCGGGGCGGGGGGGCCGCGGGGCCGCCCCGCCCGGTCCATCAGCCGGCACCGGGGCCGCCTCCGCGCGCTGCCCGAGGGGGTACGGACCCCCCCGCCGCCGGCGGGGGAGCGGGTACCGGAGCGGCCTCGCGGAGGGCGGGGGATTCCGGTGGGGGAGGCCCCGAGGGCCGCAGAGCGGCCCGAGCATCCTTTTTCCGTCCCAGGGTAGCACCTGCTCCTCCGGTACCCCGGTACTCCCCGGTACCCTCAGGGACCCCCTGACCCGGCCCAGCACCCGGCGCGGCCCCTTCAGCACCTCGGAGAGGGCCCGGCCGGGCCCCACCGCGTGTCCGGTACCGGGGCCGGTGCCCAGTGCCCCGTGCCCGGTGCAGGTGCCCGCGGCCCGTTACGCCGCTGCCCGGAGCCCCTGACCCGCCGAGCGCTGCCCCGCGGCCCCCGGGCCGGCCCCGAGCGCTCCCGGGCCGGTCCCGCCGGTGGCCGTCCCGCTGCACGGTAACGGGGAGGGCCGGGCCGGTCCCCCGGGGCCCGTCGCTGCCCCCCTCCTCGGAGGCGGGGGGGGGGGGCGCGGCGGGGGGTGGGCTGGGCCCCCCGGGGGGGGGGGGG